TAAATAGTGAAGTGGGTTGCCATGGAAAGCAACTCTCCTAAGTCTATTTAGATGCCAGGATCTATGTCACTAGAGATACTTTTTTTTAATTGTTTTTATAATGGTTTGCAAACCAACCAAGCCGGTGTCCTAACCAGTAGCATTTATGGGTTGCTATGGAGATCCGGTTTTAAATGTTTTAACCTAAGCACAGGCATATTGATTTTTACAATCTTTTATATTGTCTATTCATTTATATTGCTTGGATAAACAAGTTTTGTTAATGTGAACACAGTTTGCCAAAGAAACCTGCACACCAATTCATTAGGGATTTTGTTTAATAAAGCTTATTAGTTAGTCACTGCTGGATTTTAAATAATGATCATTAGAAGCAGTAACACTTTCTGAAAGATCGCCCACCAAACAACTTTGGCAGCTTTAAATTCGCAGGAGAATACCACAGAAACTGAATACCACTGAGAAAGCCAATTGCACGGCGAAACGCATTTGGGAATTTAGTTTCAAATTAAGTGAGAAAAAGACAGTGTTTGATCTTACTGTACCGAGACAGATCACATCCTCATCAGAAGGAGTTCATTGCCACTACTCTGTGTCAGACGGGACACCAAATGCTGCAGGACCACTATTTTACATGTTCACTTGCATCTGCCGAGCACAAGGAAATGTACTGCGTACAAATTGAACCAATGGGAAGGGTAAAAAACTGTATTCTATAACTTTATTCACACAGGCTGCTGCGGTGTAAAATGTGCAGAAACCTTTTTGTGCATATTTACATATTGTTACAATGCAAAATTGAAAAACACTGTAAGTCTTACATTAATTACATTAGTGTGAATTTGGAGAAAATGTTAGCTTTACTTCCATGAAGTGTTCCAATGGGGAACTTTCAATTTAACTGTTCTAGTGTAAATCTGAAAAGTGTTTGGTTTGGTTTATCTGTTATATATAATAGGAAGCTCAGAAAGCTCAGCTTTTAATTGCTTTCTTCACACACCCAATATATTCTACAAATACAAATACAAAATACCAAGATGAAACCATAATAGTATCAGCTCAGATGACATGTTGATGGTGTCTGAATAGTATGAATCCTTCCATGCTAAAATTAACATTAGGGAGAGATAGAGAATTAAATAAATGGGGGGAGGAGGGGTAAATTTGCAAGGGGGGGACAAAAGAGAAAATTTAAACAGGTGAACAAGAAAGAGTCATTGGAATAGGAAGAGAGAACCTCAAGAGATGGTCACATGGGAAGAAGAATTTTAAAAAAATGAATGAAGCATATTGCATACTCTGGCATAAAAATGAAAAGCAATAAAACCATATGTGCAAAGTTCCTGTAAATCACCATAGTTTCATATACACATTGATCAGCCACAACATTAAAGCCACCTGCCTAATATTGTGTAAGTCCCCCTCGTGCTGCAAAAACAGCTATCAATTTGGATTTCAAGGCATGGATTCCACAAGATCTCCCGGTCCTGTGGTATCTGCCTCTTAAACATTAGCTGCAGATCCTCTAAGTCCTGCAAGTTGCAAGGTGGGACTTCCATGGATGGGATTTGTTTTTCCACCACATCTCACAGATGCTCAATTTTATTAGGATTTTAGAAATATGGAGGCCAAGGCAAAACCATAAACTCTTTGTCGTGTTCCTCAAACCATTCGTGCACAATTTTTGCTGTGTGCATTATCCTGCTGAAAGAAGCCACTGCCATCAGAAAACACCATTGCCAAGAAGGAGTGTACGTGGTCTGCAACAATCTCTACGTAGGTGGTTCAGGTCAAAGTAACATCCACATGAATGCCAGGATCCAAGGTTACTCAACAGAACATTGCCTATAGCATAACATTGCCTTCACCAGCCTTCCTCCTATAGTGCATCCTGAGGCCATCTCTTCCCCAGGTAAACAATGCACACACACACACACGCCCCAGGCCATCCACCTGATCTAAAAGAAAATTCCTCAGACCAAACAAACTTCTTCCAATGTCAGTCCAGTTCTGATTCTCACATCCCCATTGAAGGTGCTTTTGGCGATGGACAGGGGTCATCATGGGCACTCTGAAAGATCTGCAGCTACGCAGTCCCATATGCAGCAAACTACTATGCACTGTGTGTTCTGACACCTTTTTCTCAGGCCAGCATTACAGTATTAAGTTTTTCAGCGGTTTGAGCTACAGTAACTCTTTTATACGGTAAGAACAGACAGGCTAGCTGTTGCTCCCTACATGCTTCAATGAGCCTTACATTGGTTAACTGGTTCTCCTTCCTTGCACAACTTTTAGCAGGCACTAACCACTGCATACCAGCAACACCACAAAAATACTTGCCATTTTGGAGATGCTCTGACCTAGTTGTCTAGCCATCACTATTAGTTCTTTGTCAAAGTTACTCAGATCTTTTTGCTTGCCCATTTTTCCTTCCCCCAACACTGCAAATTCAAGAACTGATTGTTAACTTGCTGCCTAATCCCACCTTGACAGTTGCCATTATAACAAAATAATCAATGTTACTCACTTCACCTGTCAGTGGTTTTAATGTTGTGGCCGTTAAGTGTATACTAGCACAAGAGTCATGTATCTAAAGAATTATCTTATATCTATATATGCAACATCTCATAAAGAGACAAATCCTAGTATAAGCATAACTTCTAGTAAACAGATATAGTTACATAGTTACTGAAAAGAGACTTGCGTCCATCAAGTTCAGCCTTCCTCACATATGTTTTTGCTGTTGATCTAAAAGAAGGCAAAAAACCCAGTCTGATGCGCTTCCAATTTTGCAGCAAACTAGGAAAAAAATCCTTCTTGACCCAAAAATGACAGTTAGATATCTTCTAGGATCAAGCAGCTATTACCTTACTAATTAGAAATGATATCCCTGTATGTTTTGTTTTTGCAAGTATTTATCCAATTTCTGTTTAAACATCTGTATGAACTCTGATAAAACCACCTCTTCAGGAAGAGAATTCCACAACCTTATAGTTCTTACTGTAAAATAAGCTTTTTCTTTGCCTTTGACTAAATCTCCTTTTTTTCCAGCCTAAATTAATGACCTTGTGTCCTATGTATAGCCCTGTTTATGAAATGAGTTCCAGATAATGGTTTGTACTGGTCCTGAATATATATTTGTATAATGTTATCATATCCCTTCTAAGGTGCCGTTTTTCCAAACTAAAAAGATTAAAAATGTTTAACCTTTCTTCATAACTAAAATGCTCCATTACTTACTCAATGTTGTATTTAAAATGCTCCATTACTTTGATCAATTTTGTAGCTCGTCTCTGCACTTTTTCTGTGCCTGATGTCCTTCTTTAGAACAGGTGCCCAAAATTGCACAGCATATTCAAGCTGTGGTCTTACCAGCGATTTATAAAGAAGCAAAATTATATTTTCATCCCAAGAATTTATGCCCCTATTTATACATGACAAAATTTTACTGACCTTAGCAACTGCAGATTGACATTGCATATCGCTGCCTAATTTGTTGTCTATAACAATTACCAAATCCTTATCGTGTGTTGTTATCCCTAATTCACTACCATAGGGTGTAAGTTGTTTGTGCATTCTTTACCCAGAAGTGCATAACTTTGCACTTCTCCACAATAAATTTTATCTGCCATTTGAGTGCCCAGTCCCCCAATCTATCTAAATCCATCTACAGCAATGCAATATCCTGCTCACATTGTATTACTTTACAAGGTTTTGTGTCATCTGCAAACTCTAAAACATGGCTTTCATTGCCTTTTTCAAGATCATTTATAAACATGTTAACCCCTTAAGGACACAGCTTCAGAAGCTTGTCTTACGCTTAATGACACAAGCAATTTTTGCATTTTCTTGCTGTATGCGTTCAACTGCAATTTGCATCTCTCTCGTTTATTGCACCGACACATATTATATACTGTTTTTTAAAGGACAGAAAGGGCTTTAATTTGATGTAATATATATATATATATATATATATATATATATATATATATATATATATATATATATATATATATATATATATATATATATATAAATGCTTATTTATTATTAAAAAAATACAGAAAAATGCAAGAAAAAATGAAACAATTTGTGTTTTTTGTACAGTTTTTGCAATAATAATGTGTGCCTAATTAGTGCAGGTTAAAGAAAGTAATTAAAAATAAATTCATTTAGTTGTTCTGATTTACAGAATATATAATGTGTCTGGGATTTTAAGTTTTTTTTGGTAGTTACAGGTCACAAAGCATAATGAGTAAAATAAACTTTTAATGTGGAGCGATTTTAGAATTTGGTATGTTTGTCTTGTAAGCTTAATAGCCATAAAAGAAAACAAAATTGCCGCACAAAAGTATATATTTATATAAAGTAGACATCACAGGCTATTGTCCTAAGGTTGTTTTGACACTTTCTACATAGCCATTTCACTGCCAATCCCTGCTAAATATTGGAGTAAAAATTAGTTTTTTGGGGTTTTTGGCACACAATCTTATAACAAAGAATTTCTCATGTGTATTTTGTAAAGTTGGTTTTTGCTATTCCTGTACAAAGTTTTATTTTGTGTTCAGTTACTTCTGCTGAGTACAACGATACCCCCATTGTATGTCTTTGGCACTATTTCGTGAAGCTACAGTGCCATATAGGAGACCTGTCCGTTTCAACATTTACAGTAGAATTTTGAGAGGCGGATTTAATGGGCCTATGCTTCAATTTGGGGTATTATAGCAGTTTGACTGTTCAAAAAAAAACCCACAAAGGCCTACCATTTGTAAAAGTAGACACTCCAGGGTACCTCATATGGTGCATATTGTGCCTTAACATGCCCCCATTTTTTCACCAATATATGCCAAAGTATGTGGTAAAAAATAATTTGGGACATTTTTTACATACGGATTACATTTTTGCTGGGCATTTTGTACATTTCATATGTGCCACTAAATTCAAACCCCCCAAATTATGATCAGCTAAGTCTTCTGAGTAAAACAATATACCCAATGTATGACCTAGACCAGGGGGAGGCAACCTACGGCACTAGTGCCATGCACGGCACTCGAGGTGCCTTTGCACGGCACTCAAGGCTGCTAGAGCCAAACCGGTTCTGGCCTATCAGGAGTCCCAGTAAAACATCAGATATCTGCTAATACGAAGAGGTGGTGAAGGACAATCCTCAATTTATGCATTGCAGCAAGTAGAGGAAGTGATCTCAGAGCACTTTATTCCAACACTTGTGAATGGGAATCCACACAGTATTAGAGCAGCTCGCAGTTGTTGTTGCAGCTCTTGTCCTTGACCTGTACCTGGCTGGCCTGGTCCCCACTGGAACCCAGGGAAGCCACCCACGCTGCTTGATAAACACACAAATGCAGAATAACCCTCCCCTCATACAAATAATATGGACAGCCCACACACAATCCGCACAAACGCAACACCACTAACAATCCACATACATGCACACAACCCCACATGCAGCCTCTCACATGCAATACCCCAAACAGCCCCCACACACTACCAAACACACAATGTGACATATCCATCCATACACACAATTCCACAAGCAGCCCCCATACACAGCCCACATTCATATGTATCATACACAATACCATAAACTACTTATGAACATAAACAATATAATAGCTCATATACGCACAAATACAACAATACAAAGCAATTACAGTAAAAATAACACAAGCAGAATACGGCAGCATACACACCTCAATTTAAAAAAAAATAGGACCGGCACGCTACAGGACATCACAATCCTATATCGGCACAGTGCTGCTAAAAGGTTGCCTACCCCTGACCTAGACACTATTTTGTGAAGTTACACTGCTGTAAAAGAGATGTGACACGTTAAGGTTTTTAAGTGTGAATTTTCATGGAAGGTTTTGATGCGTTCGTGTCCCACTTTGGAGCACTTGAGCAGGCTACATATTACAACTACACCATAAAGGCATACCATTTCTTAAAGAAGACATCCCAGGGTAATTCAAAAGGCATATTTCGAACCTTAGTGTGGGATCATTTTTCTGCTAGCTTGTATCAAGTGTAGTGTTAATAAGCATTTGTTCTGCCTTTTTGACACACAAAGCGAGTTTGCGCAGTATATTTTGCAACCCTTATGTGTACTACAGGTGTAAACTACTTCATATGTTGCTCAGCTATGTCGGCTGAGTACAGCAATACCCCCGTATGTACCTTTGCCTGGTATATGTGGACTTCGGAGGGGCACATTTGAGACACAGCCATTCCATTTTTTTTTTCAAACTTTGAATTTTTACGGTGTCCATGTCCCATTTTAGTACATTTTACAAGGCTATATAATCCAATTACACCATAAAGGCCCGTTTTCAAACTTTTTTTTTACTTATTAAATGTTTTACACTTTCTTAACTTTTTTTACACTTTTAAATTTTTTTCTAAACTTTTCCGTTAACCCCTAACTAGCAGTAAGCAGCACTAACAGTAAATTCCCTCCTTTCCCATAACTCCCACCCACTCCAGCTAGCAAAATATATATAATTATAAAATATTTAAATTAATTAAATAAATTGAACCCCTGAGGGTTAAAAAATAAATAAAAGTTAATCCTCAGGGGTTAAAAGAAATTAGATTACAGTATAATACTGTGATCTGTATTTTGATCACTGTATGCAGTGATCAACTGGCAAGGAAGGGGTTAATTTTTATTTATAAAAGAAAACAAGTGAATAGTGTGTAGGCGCTTTGTGGATGTAAAGATAAAATAGGGGTGGATATAAAAGTGTTTCCCAAACACAAATAAAGAGTAAAAATAAGTACAAAATTTATATCAAAACCACAAAAAATGAAAACCAAAAGTGAAATAGTGATAATGAAAAAGATAAATATATACAAACATACAACCTGAGCTTGACAAAGTAGTCAGGTAAAATCTAAAAATATAAAATATAATACAACATAGTGTAATCTGTGATAAGATAATATGAAGTAGGACAAAACAGACTATCACTCACATTCGGCAGAGCCGTCCCAGGCTCTGTATAGCAGACACAAGGGTGCCAATTCTGGCTAACGAAATCCCAAAGAGTGGATGGAGAAAATTTCAGTAAAAAATATATATATTTATTTAGGATAAAATATCCAAAGCTCAAGGTACTAGGGGAGAGGAATCCAAAAGAATACAGAAAAAGGATATCCACTTACCCCAAATGAAGTAACCAAGAGAAACAAGTAAACACAAGATCTACAGGGATAAAAACCCTGTTCTAAGTTGAAGGAATTTTTATTCTTTTTATCTTTAATAAAACTAGTGGTTAGGTGTTGTTTTAGATTTTTAGCACCTCTATATACTATGGTCGGTTTTTCTCCAATGATATTTTTAAGGGTTGGATCTGATCTAAGAATATGCCAGTATTTATTAATGATATGTTTGACTTGTCTAGCATTTTCATTATAATTTAAAACAATGGGAATGGTAGAACTTTTCATCCGGTGGCATAATATGGCATGGCTGTGTTTGTGTTCCACCATGCGTTCCATCATGCGTTCCACCATGCGTTCCAAATGACGAAAACCGGAAGTGACGTCATCCGAATATACCAGATGAAAACGGATAGAGACCATGCACAGGTGATCGTGATTACCGGGTGCACTTAAACAAGCTTCGAAGATCAGGACATCAGCACTTGAAGAAGGCTTCTGAACCGAAACACGTCTGCTGCTATTCACTTATTGTACAGCTGTATTTTCTATTTTATATTAGCTTGTTGTTATTTTACTTGTTTCTCTTGATTACTTCATTTGGGGTAAGTGGATATCCTTTTTCTGTATTCTTTTGAATTCCACTCCCCTAGTACCTTGAGCTTTAGATATTTTATCCAAAATATATATATTTTTTACTGAAATTGTCTCCATCCACTCTTTGGGATTTCGTTAGCCAGAATTGGCACCCTTGGGTCTGCTATACAGAGCCTGGGACGGCTCTGCCGAATGTAAGTGATAGTCTGTTTTGTCCTACTTCATATTATCTTATCACAGATTACACTATGTTGTATTATATTTTATATTTTTAGATTTTACCTGACTTCTTTGTCAAGCTCGGGTTGTATGTTTGTATGTATTTATCTTTTTCATTATCACTATTTCACTTTTGGTTTAAATTTTTTGTGGTTTTGATATAAAGTTAATTTTTATTTAGAATGGGTAAAGGGGGGGTGGTTTTTCTTTTGTTTTTTTACGTTACTAAAACATTTTTTTTAACTTTTTTTTTTTTACTTTTTAAAGCTTATTTTAAAAATTTTTAACGTTAACCCCTAGTTAGCCTAACACCAAATTCCCCAATTCATCACTAACTTCCACCCATCCCAGCTAGCTAAATATATATTTTTTAAATATTTAAATTAATTAATAAAATAAATGTAACCCCTGAGGGTTAAAAAAAAATAATTAACCCTCAGGGGTTAAAAAAAAATAATCAGATGACATTAAAATGTATACCCTGCCAATTGATCACTGGAGTGATCAATTGGCAGGGAAGGGGTTAATTTTATTAAAGCAGGGGAAAGGGGGGTGGGGGATTTAACTTTATGTATTTTTTTTTACACAGGGAGAAGATCAGCAGCACTGATCCGTCTCCCTGCACTTCACACAGAACCCGGAAGTGCAGGGAGGCGGAAGGTGAGTATACTGAGCACATGTGCTCGCTCTGACAGCCTTTCAGAGCAAGCACCGGTGCTAGGGCAGCCCGATCGGGTGCTCCCAGTCTGCCTCTAATACAGAGGCAGACCGGAGCACCGTTAACCCCGCGATCGCCACTATCACAGCGATCTGGCGTTAACTTTAGTAAATGACGGAAATGTTACGTCAACGGTCCTTAACTGAAGGACAAGGTTGACGGAAAATTTCCGTCTGCGGTCGGGAAGGGGTTAAATAAAAGTGATCCCAAAACAGAACCCTGAGGGACACCACTTACCACTTTGTCCAGCTTGAAAATTTACCATTAATGACAACTTGTTGTACTCTATCCTTAAGCCAATGTTCTACTCAAGAACAAGAATGTTCATCTAGACCAATTTCTTTTAGTTTGAAGACTAACCTATTGTGAGGAACCGTATCAAATGCCTTGGCAAAATCCAAGTAGATCACATCCACTGCAACACCCTGATACATATTTCTACTTACTTCTTTGTAGAATGCAATTAGATTAGTTTGATATGGCCTGTGTTTCAGAAAACAATGTTGATTATTGCTAATAACAAAGTTCTTCACAATTAATTCCAGAATATTATCCCTTAATAGCCCTTCAAATACTTTCCTAGTCACAGAAATTAAACTCAAAGGTTTATGAATGGATGAGATAGTTTACACCTGGGTAAATTGAAAACAAGGCTTGGGACATGGAGCGTATTCATTGATTTGCAAAAACAAGACATGGAATTCACTCCCTGGTTAAAAACAAACAATTTTTTTTTTAAATACTGAGAATTTCAGAGACACATATTACTGACTAAGGAAACCTACAAAAAGGTGAAACATGTTTTGGTTATTTAGGTCTCTGCTTTTATCAGTTTTTAAAGTTTTTAAAAGGTTGTTACACCAAATAAATAAAAATATACAGGATTTAGAGCTAAGACTTGTCTTAAACATACAGTAGAAGCTGGACATGGGAGTGAGCCAATCTTAAGACTCTGGTACATGTGAGTGAAATCTGTTCACATATATAAAATTATTTTGTTGTATTGCACTATATTTCATTTTTCCCTTCTAAATATGTATCTTTAGTTCACACACAAAGGAAGAGTGCTTGCAGTTTAATGTTGGGAGGAGGGAGTCACCCCTGACTGTCCACTGTCCAGAGTAATTCTGGGCTCTGAAAAATGTGAATAGAGAAGCTAGTAGGTATGTAAACCTGTTAATTTATATTGTAGTTTAATACCATCTACACTATTGCATATATTTTTATCTCTTTTACGGAGGTCCATCGCGGACTGTGTCTGAAGAATATTATATCCTAAGGTATTACACTGACAATTTGCCATTTTGTACATTTTGCGTTAATTTGTTTTCTGCACAACAGATCTTGGATTATTATTATGTTTATGTATTAGAGCACTATAACAGATGAGCTTTTTATGATCGAAATTTGGATGATTATGCACTAGAGTATAGTTGTTGTATTAATTGTTGTATTGATATGTTGTATTTTTATCTGATTAAGATTAAATTATTTATTGAACTCATTTTTGGTACAGCAGTTTTTGATAGGATTTTGTGGTTTTATATTATTTTCATGATTCGTTGCTTTTGCTGTGGCAGTTTTGCACTTTAGTGGCAGATTGGAAATTTGGAGGGAGTGTGTTTTCTCACAGTTTGGGAATTGTTTTGGGAACACATTTTAAGATTTGTGAAGTGCTATACTGATTATATTGTTTTTGGCTGTTTTTTTAGGTATATGTAAGGATACATTATCAGTGTAGTGAGCAGCTGATAAA